TATTGTTTATGCGTCTGATGTTATTGTGTAAACATCGTATTCTACTATATCCACATCAGAATACAATGATTAAACAGAAACTAGAATAACGTATTGAAACTAGATGCACACCCTGCAACGGAGGGAATCCACTCACTCAACCACCCCCGAGCCAAGGAAAATTTCAATATTATATCAGCTCTTCAATGCTGATCTGCCCAGCGAATAGCATTTCAAATCAAATTAGTTTGCTAAAATAAATTAAGAGGCCGATTTTTTTTTCTCCCGTGAATTAAGAGATGATCTGGTTCAACCCGGCCGGGCCCACGTGATGGCACCAACACGAGTGATTGGGGTAACGAGGTTCAGCGAGTGCCAGAGTCGTCCCCGAGTTGGTGGGTGTTTAAATTAGCGTCTTATCGCTGGTCACGACACCAGTACTGCTGGCACATTAGCTCGACCTGGGAACTGGCGGAGGGGGATTAGTAGTAGCGTGTGGGGGAGGATGTGGGGGAGGGATGTGTGGGAAGATGTGTGAGGGGCTGGGTCGAGGAAATGAAAGTTGTGTGTAAGATGTGCGAGTGTGTTTTAAGTAGAAAAGTATGTTGGGTCCGTAGATAGAGATGTTAAAGCAGTGTGCTCTAAGAGTCGAAAAATATGTGTTGGCTCTACGCGTGGTTGAGTGGTGAAGCGCTCGACTGCTTGCCCGAAGGTCTCGAGTTCAAATCTCGGTCCGGACTCCTCCCTAGTCCAACCAGCTGCTTGGGTACCTGACTCACGTTAGAGAAAGTAAAGGCGGGTAAATAAAGCTGACCTCGCTATTCCTTCATATACCTTGGTCAAGAAACTATGGATCTTTAGGTCTTTAAGGGTTACTTTACTTTACTACTCGTGAGAATGGTGCGCTCTAGGAGACAAAAATATGTCACTACCACTGATGACCAAATGGTTCTATTGTCATGCGTTTTCCATCGCATGATTATAGCGCATCTCTTCTTGGCGTTATCAGTGCTGATTGCTTTAAGCGCGGCTCTAAGTGGTCTAGCATTGTTACCTTATCAGCTGTTTTACGTAAGGGTTAATTCAGTCCTTGTAGAGATCGGCGCCTAGCTGTAATCTGCAAGCGTTCTCACTCGGTATAAAAATGGGGTTCATGACATAAAGAAATAATTTTAATCTCTCTCATATATATATATATATATATATATATATATATATATATATATATATATATATATATATATATATATATATATATATATATATATATGTATAACATGCAGAACCGACTTCGCGTTTTATAGGGCTGATCCATTAAAAATAATAGGAAAACTTCAATAACGGATTCTTTCTTTTTTCTATAATAAAGTGTTGGCCTTGTCTGAGTAAGGAACAGAGCTGAAAACATGGCGGCTCTTTTACTAATCAAAAGATAGTGTTTTGATGGCACGGATCCCAGCTCCCCAGGTCTAATTTTCCTTATCTTAAATGCCATCGATAACATGGGGGTATAAAGCAAGATGTCTGTTGTAAATGTTGGGCATCGCTCGGCACATTGTCTCCACAGCCCGGCCGGCTCCCAACAAAAGGTTCCCTGTAAGCGCTGGTTAATGACCGCCCGGCTCTGTTGCCCATCTGCAACAGCGCCCCGCTGGGGAGGTTTAGGACTCCGCGGCTAATCTTAATCCCCCCGAGGGAGGAGACTAAACACGACGTCTATCTGGAACTGCGCGGGACCGCGGGTTCTAGATTAACGGGCCCATTACGTTCGTTTGACCAAGTGGCGCCCCGTGATGACGTCAGACGTCTGGTGGCGGGTGGGGGGCCGCAGCAGGGGATGAAAGGCTCTAGTTGGGGAACTATCAATACGGTTGGTGCCACGGCCAAACAGACTAGCCAGAAACTACACGGTGTGAGAAGGCGTTTAGTTTTACTTGAGTGCCGGCTAGCCACGGCCAAACAGACTAGCCGGAGACTACACGGTGTGAGAAGGCATTTAGTTTTACTTGAGTGCCGGCTAGCGATGTATTGGTAAGTCTGTACTTCCACAGTCCAGCGGATTAGTATTTGGCTAGAGGATTATCCAGGCAGCCGTTATATTCTATAAGGAGATATTTTATTTTCCTACACCACAAAGACCTTGATTATAAATCCCCCCCCTTCCTCTTCTCTCCCCCCCCCCCCACACCACCCTTCTCTCATCTGACCGTTTCCACTCCACCGATAAGTGCCATACGAGTCGGGTTGTCTATTCCAGCAGTAGCGGGGGGTCTGCCTGTACCAGGCGCCGAGCACCACGAGCGTGCATGTTTACTGCTCACCCACATACAGGGTCAGACACGGTTGAGATTAGCGACCTCGCGGGGTTAAGAGCCAAGATAAAGTCACGTGGTCGGCATTTTAATATGATGGACAGGTCAAGGCGGCACTGGTTACGTAGCCTGGCACCACTGGTCAGGTCTGGCGTCGTTTGCCAGTGACGCATGAAAGGACTATGGTCTGTATGTAAAAACTCTATGTGATGTGTTACATGAAAGTACTATGGTCTGTATGTAAAAACTCTATGTGATGTGTTACATGAAAGGACTATGGTCTGTATGTAAAAAAATCTATGTGATGTGTTACATAAAAGGACTATGGTCTGTATGTAAAAACTCTATGTGACGGGTGACGCCCTGATGTCTGTTCTGATTAACTAAATCAAACGCTTTCAGGTAGAGGAGAAATAAATAAATGCTAATCCTTATGTTACATGTTGTAACATGCATGTTGGCATTACTCATGTTTTGCAGGCGAATAATCAGATAGGTATGGCGTAATCGCTATAAAGTAGCATTGAATTATTCTTTTTTAATTGAAATAATTTAATTTGATATGTTGTAATTTTGTTAATAAAAAGTAACTGGATTTTATTTTGCACACGTTGGGTACGGTCTTCGGGTTTCTATCTCTCCCTGATAATCTCGTTTTTAATCTGATAATCACGTTTTTAATCTGGTAATCAACATCTAATAGTGAAATACCTGAGCTAGTACGTCTGTCAAATATAAGATCTCAATACTCATTTTTTTACTAGCCTACACCAGTTGTCAACTTGTGCCTAGCTTTGTTTAAGATGTGCTGGTGCTAAACTTTAAAGATGGAATATTTGAGATATGTTGATGCATAACTTTAAAAATGGAATATTTGCTGATGCTTAGCTTTAAAGTAGAGTCACTAGACCTTACCGTGACAGTAACCGTGGACCATAAATCAGAGCCGACTGTTTTCCTGCTGAACCAGGTTTTCCACAACGAGAGCTAAAAATAACTCTGGGTTTACCCGTATTTTAATGCTCCGTTTATTCCCCTCCCCGCCCCACCCGCACGCACCTCACAATGTTATAATGGCCATGTCTCTAGTCAGTGTGGGTCTACATTCTCATTAATTATGAATACTTACAAGTCTCATTAGTAAGGAATAATTACTTAAGGCTCGTTTAATTAGAATAATCCTCTAAATTAGAACAAACAAAAATATGTTTTCCTGTCCTTTGTGTGTGTTCTAGTCTAGCTGTGTTATGACCTCGTTCAGTTGCTCGCTTCGTCCAAATGTGTACATTTGTTTTTCGTGTCTTCAACATACTCTAAAACAATGGGTTACTTGTCAAATACTTTCTTTTTTAAAAATTTCCTTGATTTTTATAATTTTTTTATAGTTGTTTTCTCTCATATTTCTGTAATTGTATAAATGTATATAACTGTGTTCTCTAATATGTCTGTGATTGTATAAATGTGTTCTCTAATATGTCTGTGATTGTATACATGTGTATAACTGTGTTCTCTAATATGTCTGTGATTGTATAAATGTGTATGAATGTGTTCTCTAATATGTCTGTGATTGTATACATGTGTATAACTGTGTTCTCTAATATGTCTGTGATTGTATAAATGCTCTCTAAAATGTCCTTGATTCCTCAAGTGTTTTATCCGATGTGTCTCGTGGAAAGGCCAGAGATAAAAACGGCTGGCCTCACGAACCCCCGTCGTCCCCGACCCCTGAAACAAAGAACCCCCGTCGTCCCCCGACCCCTGATACAAAGAACCCCCGTCATCCCCGATCCCTGATACAAAGAACCCCCGTTGTCCCCCGACCCCTGATACAAAGAACCCCCGTCGTCCCCGACCCCTGATACAAAGAACCCCCGCCGTCCATCGACCCCTGATACAAAGAACCCCCGCCGTCCATCGACCCCTGATACAAAGACCCCCGCCGTCCATCGACCCCTGATACAAAGAACCCCCGCCGTCCATCGACCCCTGATACAAAGACCCCCCTTCTGCTGATGCCCGTTGTATCTGGAGGTTAATCCGGCGAGCCTCTCCTTGACTTATGCTGGGTACGCAAGACGTGCTGAGTCCGCTGCCCAGCCTAAAAGACCACCTGGGCGCCTTCAGCACGACAAGTCAATAGCCGCGTACAACAAAAGTTGCGGATAACTCTCGCCACGCCTCATTACCCCACTTGTAGTCGCCCCTTGTTCAATTCTGCAGCGTTGATACATGTTACTTGGGACAAATGGTGGAGAGAGGTGATGTGTGGAGGGGGGGGAGGAGGTATTGAAGGATAAACATCACCTTACAATTGTCATCCACAACTCTCAAAAACCTTTTATACTGCTGCAAGAAGCAGATCGTGTCGAATGTGTTATGCCAGCAAAAGTTATGTGTTTTTGCTACATGAAAGTTATGTGATTTGTCCACAAAATTGTTATGTGTTTTTGATACATGAAAGTTATGTGATTTGTCCACAAAAGTTATGTGTTTTGCTAGCAAATCGTACTAGGGCCGAATCGAAAATATGCTATCAGCCCTGTTTTTTTTAAAAACGCCTCTCAGTATATGTTCTTATATTTAGAATCGTGGTTGTATAAACTAAATCATGTTAAGTTTTAAACTGCTGAAACTAGATTTATTTAACTAAAAGTTCTTATGTTGCCGTGTTTCCATTTTATAATGATTTTATTCTTTACTTTTTTTCAGGTACGGCACCAACAGGGGAAGATAACCCAACGTATTCCAAAAACAACCACGGGAATCGGGACGACGACCGTGACCTCTGGTTCAAGGCCGCGGTCATCGCTGTGCCAATCGCCGGGGGATTCATCCTCGTGCTCCTGGTGTTGCTGGCAGTGCGCATGCTCAGGACGGACTCACGGTACCAACGGCGGTTCAACCGTCGAGAGCGGAGCCTGACCAAGGCACACATGTACATTGCCGAGCACTTCGTCGGCAAGACCGGCAAGCAGCCGTGCTCGCTGTTCACGGAGAAGCCGAGCAAACACTGCCCGACCTTCTACGCCGACATCGCCGGGCCGGACAGCCGCTGCGGCAACGTGTGTCCGACGCTGCGCTACGGCGACATCTACAGCAACCACTGCAGCTACGCCGTGCACGGCGAGGGCAGCGACGTGCCCACGGACTCTTCCGCCGCCCTTCACGGTGTCGACCGAGCCGGCAGCAGCGCCATCTGTCACCATAGCAACAGCTCGTTGCCGTGCAGCTCTTCCGGTTGCTACAGTGACGCGTCCAGCCATTCTTGCTCAACCAAGGCGGAGAACTGTGTGCACTGTCAACTTAGTCACAGCACCATCAAACCGTGTTCTTTCTATTCACTGACTGACCCCGTGTCTAAAGCCCCCTGCTTGAGGCGGGACGTGACCGTTAAAATAGACAGGTTCCCTCATATGGTGCCACGGTTCACCAAATCGGAAATTTCCAGTCCGGTGTCCAACCCTGGACACGCCCACTCGTCGGTGGTGACGTGGAATAAAGTGTGTGAGCAGGGGCCGGCATCCGTTGTGTGATACACTGACCAGCAAGATTTGAACGGTCAGCAAACTTAAGCATGGATCTAACCCCAGGGGTAATCGCTAGTCTAAGCCACAAGACACTAACCCAGGGGCCAGCCGAACAGACAGTCCACATGCAACACGTGATACAAGCAACTCTACATAACGGTACAATACCAGTTGCTTGTGTTCGCTTGATACAAGCAACTCCACATAACGGTACAGTACCAGTTGCTTGTGTTAGCTTGATACAAGCAACTCCACATAACGGTACAATACCAGTTGCTTGTGTTCGCTTGATACAAGCAACTCCACATAACGGTACAGTACCAGTTGCTTGTGTTAGCTTGATACAACCAACTCTACATAACGGTACAATACCAGTTGCTTGTGTTAGCTTGATACAAGCAACTCTACATAACGGTACAGTACCAGTTGCTTGTGTTCGCTTGATAGCACCTCCCTATTGGCTCTGTGAGCCGGATTATAGATTGAAATACAAAACTGAATTCTTTGAAATACAAAGCTGAACGCCTGACTTCATAAAAATACAAAGCTGAACTCCTGACTTCATAAAAATACAAAGCTGAACGACTGAATTCATTGAAATACAAAGCTAGACAAGTAATTTCACCGAACTAATGACTATATGGCATGGGTTAATTTTTTAAATAAGTCTTTTCGCTTTCTATTCAGTTTGGTATTTATAATTTTATTTATATCACAAATATCTAATTGTAAGTTTATGAGTCAAAGTTCGAGCGCTGTCCAGTTAGAACAGTTAGACAACCACGTCTTAATGACAAAACACGAACGCACGTGTTTTCAAAAATAAATCTGTGTCTGAAAGAAACCACAAAGAAAAGCTCAGAATAATAACACACAGCTGACATTAAACCACAACAGGAAAAAAAAAACTTTGTTCGAATTCCCATAATTTCAGACACTTTCATTAAATTTTTTAACTTGTAAGAATCGACAAACGGCCGCATGTTGTCAGCTGTTAGATCTAACTCTCATCAAAAGGAGACAAGTGCTAACGAAAATGGAAGTTTTCTTTTTTCTCGGCGCTGAAGAGGGCACTTAAGATGGCGAGAGAGAAGGGGGAGCTACTCTTCCAGTCTGCTGCCATTGACGGCTAGGAATCTAACGGCTCAGAGAACTCAGATATTCGATGCCTTGTTTAAAAAATACATATACACTTTTTAAAAACAAATCATAGCAAATTTAGTACACATAATATAAGCGACCGTTGATAGGTTTTATTTATTAATGAGATCTTAATGAGTGAGCACAGCCTTCACGCCTTCTCTAAATGCCAAAAACAAATGGGCTAATGAAGTTTTACAAACTATCGTCTAATTATAATTAATTGTATGTAATTATATCCTTATCAACTTGTGATTGTAAATAGAAATACTTTTTTTTTAATCGTGATGAATTTTTACCGTTTATTTGTTTTGAGTTGATCTCTGCATATCATTTTATGACCGATTAGTTTAGAGATGTAGTCTTGCTAAGGCTTCTTTAAGAAAATATTTAGTGATTGTTTCTTTACTTTTATCAAATGAGGTGACTTCGCTTAACTTTTAAAAAAATAAGTTTACCCATTTCGGGTGTCGTTAGGATACTTTTAGAGATTAAAAATACTTACAAACCTCTGGTTTGATTAACTGTAAGAGTTAAATTCAAGAGCTTAATAGACATTTGTGCGTAGTATAAAAATAAAAAAAAACAACATAACGTTGACAGGTTTATTAACGAAACAAAGAGCAAATTATTAATTGAAACAGGGTCTTGTTTCTGGATTTAAAATTAATTCGTTTTTAAACACCGGGTTGTTGAAAATAATCGATTTCTCCACATTTTTATGTTTCGCCTAGTTCTTTTTCATTAGTGTCGAATTATTAATTTTCTGCTAGAGATTTGGTCGCTTTTTTGTTTTGTTTTTACAACCAGAAATGACTTGCAAAATACTGCCGGTCCATTTTCACCTCCCTTTCCTCCCCTCCCCCCCAACCTTTCAGCGTTCCCTACCCCATTAGATTTTTCTAGATCCTACAGCAAACCATCTCTGTTACATGACAAATGACAGCATAATGACATCATATCTGACTTAACAGGTTAGATCACACGTGACATTTGATTTTACTTTATGAAATAGGCTAATTTTATTAAAAGTAACACTATAAATGACATTATATTATGAGTAATGTTACAAATGGCATGGATAATGTCACTGTAATATTACAATGGACACACACCACTGTAATATTACAAATGACATGAGTTATACTACTGTAATATTACAAATGCCATTTTAATACACATTACTAAAACTGTTAGACTATATTTGGCTGAGGTTATCATTGCATTTTATTCAGAACTCATATACTTTTAAAAAATACAGTATCACCCCCCCCCCCCCCCCCCGACCTCCAGGGCTGAAAGGCAATGTTGTTTTGATAATGTTATATCATCATTATTGTTCACTTCCTTGTTATCTTCGAATTTGTTATTGTACATGTTATTAATTTATTGACGAATTCAACATGGAGAGTAATTCAAATATCAAAGCTTTCAAAAACTATCTAAAAAAATAAACACATTTTAATAATTTAAAAAATTGTTGAATTTTGTTTTATTTTTCGTTGTAAGGTTGTTGCCAAAACATAATTTTTTTAAAAAGGCGAATCACTTAGCCAGGGGATTGTTTACATGTGTGTATGTAATTACATGTTGTAGGGAATGTATGTTTTCATTCACGTAAAATGTGATACAACAGTGGAATTTAATTCACTTAAAAAAAAAAGTTTTTAAAAATGACTGGTGGTATAAAAAAAACAGATTTGGAACTGCTTGACCACGCCACGGTAGTATGAGATCCTTACTTCAGTTGTATGTAGCAAGATGGCGGTGATTTATGACGTATGTGGGAGGATGGTGTAGACTACTGTGGTATGTAAGAGGATGGTGTAGACTACTGTGGTTTGTAGGAGGATGGTGTAGACTGTGGTATGTAGGAGGATGGTGTAGACTGGTATGTAGGAGGATGGTGTAGACTACTGTGGTATGTAGGAGGATGGTGTAGACTACTGTTGTATGTAGGAGGATGGTGTAGACTACTGTGGTATGTAGGAGGATGGTGTAGACTACTGTGGTATGTAAGAGGATGGTGTAGACTACTGTGGTATGTAGGAGGATGGTGTAGACTGCTGTGGTATGTAGGAGGATGGTGTTGACTACTGAAGTATGTAGGAGGATGGTGTAGACTGTGGTATGTAGGAGGATGGTGTAGACTACTGTGGTATGTAGGAGGATGGTGTAGACTGCTGTGGTATGTAGGAGGATGGTGTAGACTGGTATGTAGGAGGATGGTGTAGACTGTGGTATGTAGGAAGATGTTGTAGACTACTGTGGTATGTAGGAGGATGGTGTAGACTACTGTGGTATGTAGGAGGATGGTGTAGACTGTGGTATGTAGGAGGATGGTGTAGACTGGTATGTAGGAGGATGGTGTAGACTGGTATGTAGGAGGATGGTGTAGACTGTGGTATGTAGGAGGATGGTGTAGACTACTGTTGTATGTAGGAGGATGGTGTAGACTACTGTGGTATGTAGGAGGATGGTGTAGACTACTGTGGTATGTAAGAGGATGGTGTAGACTACTGTGGTATGTAGGAGGATGGTGTAGACTGCTGTGGTATGTAGGAGGATGGTGTTGACTACTGAAGTATGTAGGAGGATGGTGTAGACTGTGGTATGTAGGAGGATGGTGTAGACTACTGTGGTATGTAGGAGGATGGTGTAGACTGCTGTGGTATGTAGGAGGATGGTGTAGACTGGTATGTAGGAGGATGGTGTAGACTGTGGTATGTAGGAAGATGTTGTAGACTACTGTGGTATGTAGGAGGATGGTGTAGACTACTGTGGTATGTAGGAGGATGGTGTAGACTGTGGTATGTAGGAGGATGGTGTAGACTGGTATGTAGGAGGATGGTGTAGACTGTGGTATGTAGGAGGATGGTGTAGACTACTGTGGTATGTAGGAGGATGGTGTAGACTGTGGTATGTAGGAGGATGGTGTAGACTGGTATGTAGGAGGATGGTGTAGACTGGTATGTAGGAGGATGGTGTAGACTGTGGTATGTAGGAGGATGGTGTAGACTGTGGTATGTAGGAGGATGGTGTAGACTGGTATGTAGGAGGATGGTGTAGACTGGTATGTAGGAGGATGGTGTAGACTGTGGTATGTAGGAGGATGGTGTAGACTGTGGTATGTAGGAGGATGGTGTAGACTGTGGTATGTAGGAGGATGGTGTAGACTGTGGTATGTAGGAGGATGGTGTAGACTGTGGTTTGTAGGAGGATGGTGTAGACTGGTATGTAGGATGATGGTGTAGACTGTGGTATGTAGGAGGATGGTGTAGACTGTGGTATGTAGGAGGATGGTGTAGACTGTGGTATGTAGGAGGATGGTGTAGACTGTGGTATGTAGGAGGATGGTGTGGACTACTGTATGTCCTTTAAACCCGTATCTCCCCGTCTCTACAAACAAATGTGGCCGTCTTATGAATCCTACAGTTGTGTTTTACAGGCACAGGATTGGTAGATCAGCGAACATTCTTATTCATCCCAGTGGATGACGGTCAATGTGAACCATCTAAAATCCAACCACTGCTAGGCCTAACATAGACATGGTAACGGGGGAGATGTGATATTATCAGTGGACCAGCTGTGCTGAGGTCACGTGAGCAGCTGTGACGTGGTCTCATGAAGCTGTGACGTACATTGTAACATGATCACGCACTAGCTGAGCTTGAAAAACGTTTACAGTGGCTTGCATAACACAACAGCTTTGATTAGCCTGACATTTAGAAAGACAACGGAACAAAATCAAAACCACATTTTCAGTTTAGTCATGTCACTGATAAGCTAGAACAGTGGTGAGACTTGAATGGGGAAAAATATGGAAACACCATGATCTTAGGGTGAGAAAATGAAATGCATAGAAAAACTAAACTTTAAAATATATTTTGTCGCCTCATAGACAGAGTTACTTCTAAGCTGCGCGGTTGCGCTGCCGCGCAGTAGTTTTGAGCTACCGCGCAGTGATTTTGTAAAATACTTATATCCTTGTATAAGACTTTCAGAACACCGCGCACACAAATACACGTGGCACACAAACTTTTTTCCCTTAGAGAAAACATTGCTCATAAAAGGAACGGAGTGGCCTAGCGGTAGAGAGCTAGACCACTATCCCAGTAGTCTCGAGCTCAAATCCGGGTTGTCAGTAGAATGTACCTGAGTCCACAATAAAGGCGGCTGGGCATAGTGCCGACATCACAATCCCCACATATGCCAAGACCCCCATATGCCTCGGGCACGATCGGGAAAAGATGATGAATACAATAAAATTGGTTTAAAAACAGGAGCGATGTAACCGGATTCCGCTGTCTCAACAATGTAATACTGAGGTGACAAAATCGATAGTAAGTAATTTTTATTAGTTAAGCTTCAGAATTAGTTAGGGATAAATTGCTTATTTACTAAGAGTTTACCTAATCTAATGTAATTAATCATTGCGCTAAAAGTATTTTTTGTTGAGGAATTTTGATGAAGTGTTGGGGGGGGGGGGGGTGTAATATCTTCGATCTAGTAATTAATTATTAAGTCAAAATTAAATGGTTTTAAACAGTTCATCCATTTCTGTTAAAAGTTTTCCATTAAAAAACATACAGCAACCAAACACTTCTTTGACAGGAAACCGTGGCGTCGCCATGATGAATCTGGCATGCTGGGTAGAAAAACATCACATGACAACCCTCCAACCACCCTCGCGTGTTATCGCCTGGCGAGGGGGAGGGAAGGGCTGAAAGAATCAATTTTTCATAGCCCGTTATCTCCGTCCCCCTCATGTGTTCCGCCCCACCTCAGCCCATCTCCCCACACAACAGGGGCGGCACCACAGGTAATGGCATTACCGTCGCGATAAACTCCCTCCGAGAAAAATACATTTGCCCCTGTACAAGATTCTAGTTTTTCCTTCTATAAAAATGAATCACTATGATAAGGCTGTTGAGATTTGCTAAACATAGAGCAGGGGCGTACACCCCGGTATGTCTCACATTGAGTCTATTTTAATCGAAGAAAAAAACCCCCAGAGAATATCTAAAAATGTTTGGGAATTAACTGTCGAGTATTTTCTTTGTCCGTATAAAACTGGGGTCTGGAATATCTCCATCTTACAATACTGCCAATACTATTGTACACTTGAAATCTGCAGTACTTGACTTCTACTTGACTTATGTCACACTTGACCTGTTCCACTTGACTTACATTCCACTGGGTCTAATGATGTTTTTAAGTAACATCAGACAGTATTAGAGTAATTTATATCATTAATATTATAATTAGTATAATAATTCAACTCTAGTTTCTAGAAAAAGCGTGGACAATGAATTGAAAAACCTAATTGTAATAGCAACATGTAGTATTGCTGCATTGTTTTCTAGTTTGTTTTTAAAACGTCCCAGAAAAGTTGTTTCATACATTTCTTATTGAATGCACTTATCTGTGAGATGAACTTTTAAAAGTAAAAATTTTAAAAAAATTAATAACTGCATCTATTTAAACATGTAAGTAAAATGATTTCTAAAATAGAGTGAAAAATCTTTAAATTAATGTTATATTATGGTCAATTACTTACTTTAATTTCTTGATTTTTAAACTATTTATCACAAAATATATTTCTGGACAATTTTTCATACCTCCTGCTTTTAAACCTTATAGTATAACACATTAACACAGGGGTCTCCAAACTACGGCCCGCGGGGCCCTCGAGGTCCTCTCATCCGGCCCGCGGAGATCTTTTTGTCCACGGAAAAAATAGTTTGTTGCTGATGGCTGAGGAAGTTTGCCCAGAAAAATCAAGGACATGCCTGGAACTAACTGGCCCCCGAACTGAAATTTGATAGTTAATGCGGCCCTCGGGCAGAAAAGTTTGGAGACCCCTGGACTATAACAGGACAAGTTTGTCATTTGTATTTAGCGAACTT